GCAGCCTCAATAGCGGAGGGGATGGGGTGTGTAACAAGAGGGAAGTGTCAGGAGAAACCCAGGATTCTAGGTGGCTTGGTCCTGTTACCCATTCAATCCAGGTCTAGAAGGGGCCAGTGGCCTGGTGTTGGAGCCACCATTGATGGTACAGGGTATCTCCCTGGGTTGGTATATCCATCAGGGAAGCAGAGGAGCTCTGAGCACTTCTGCTCCATCTGCACCTTCTCCCCAGAGCAGAGAAACTGCCTCTAAGACCTACCCATCCAAGACTCTCAGAAGCACAGACAGTGGCTGCCTTTGGAGGAGAACAGCTCTGGCTGCATCAATCTGGACAAGGCACTGCCCAAAGGAGACAAGCAAGACCTGAGTGGGGCCTCTGCAGAGCACTAAGCCTGGCCTTGGGAGAAAAAATTATGAACATGGTGATAAAAGAAACGCTCCCCTTGGCACTAACCTTGAGGAAGGTAGAAGGCCTCACAGCTTGAAGGTCCTGTGCAATTCCTCCTCCTACACACACACACACACACACACACACACACACACACACACACACACACACTCTCCCACAGCCTCACCAGCAGGCCCCTACACCTTATCACAGCCTTCCTTCAACCTCTGGGAAGGCAGAGCTCCCCTACTCCCACCACAAGAAAGCGAGATGCCCAGAGCATCTCCTGCCCACGGGAGTGCTCCATTCATCACTGAAGCCATGAAGGAAAAAGGCCCAGACAAGGGCAGGGGATGCTGGTGGAAAGAGTAGACATCAGAAGGCCAGGTTCCATTCTTGGCTCTGCCATCAGTGACTGGGTGGCCTTGGCCAAGTAGGTCCCTCTTCCTCTCTGGCCTTCATGTTCTCATCTGTGAAATGGGGAGTTTAGACAAGATGATCCTTTTGAGATTTGAAGTATGATTCTATAAGCGTTCTCCAGTGGTACTTGTGCAGCCTGGGGGTAGAGTGGGGTGTTGGGTGGAAGCAAGCTTTGTCTTCACTCTCCTGCCAGGCCTGGGGGAACCCCTGGGAAGGAGTCAGAATGGCTCTGGACATGGAGCCTCAGAAACAGGGTGCTGGGTGAGCTTGTACAAATCACCTGTGTACCCTGGGCCTCCAGTTCTTCCTTGGAGAATTCACGACAACTATACTTTCCTCTCTCTGCCAGCCACCCCACCCCCCAGCAATGCATTAAATATAAAGGAAAAAAAAGTATTTGCAAAGCCATTTCTTTCCCTCTCTCCTCAAAGCATCCCAGAGCACATTCTCTGGAGTTAACAAACAAAGCCAGCAGCAAATTGACTTAGAAATGGAGACCTTCCTGCCTTCCTTCTTCCTTTCTGTTTGGCCTGTGCATCTGAGGGTCTAATTGTTGTCATGGCAACTCCTCACATGGGCCCAGACACCTTGTCTGAGGAAGTGGGACTCCAGGCTCCACTCCTCGCTCAGTTCCTTCACACACTGACCTTGGGCTGCCTTAGCTTTACCTCTGGCTGTGTGGGAAGTCAACAGACTGATTTTGCCTTGAGATTCTTTGGCCCAGGGTCAATGAGGTAGAAGAGTGTGGTCTGGGATATTATCATAATTAGTGTTTAACTACTCTGTTAAAATGGGCCCCATTTAAGCCCCTTGGGACATTTTCCAGGTCTAACCACCTTAATCTGTGCCCTCCCCCAATCGCTATTGAGTAAGGAAGAGCCATGGGAGGGGCTTTTCCACTCACAAATGGGGAAACAGAGTTCCAGAGGAGGTCACAGAGCTTAGGACTTCCACACAGGGAACTCAGGAACGCAGCCTCCTGCCCTGCCCCCATCCAGGCGAGGGTCCTGGGCTGCCTGCCTTTCTTCTGGGAGCCGAACTTCCTGATGGGGACTATTGAGTCAGGGTCCAAAGGTCCCTGATTCCTGGGATTGGCCCATTTTCCCCTGGATATCCCCGCCTCAGTCTTCTGAGTGTGTCTAGGATTTCCCAATGGGATCCTAGCTACTTGGCATCTTCCAAGGTGAGAGAAGGGGCAGGGAGCCTACCCAGACCATCTGGGCCCCAGCTGATTTCTGGGAAGGGCATGATCAGGTTTCAGCTCTTCTCTTTTATTCCAGAAAGGCTCTTATTTAGGACTTGCTCTATCCACTCCCTGAGAGACTGAATCTGCCAGCTTCTTGGGCCTTGGATGGTACCACGGAGTGAGTGTAACCCCATTCTGAGCCTCACACGTGGGGAACAAATACCCTGTGTCTTTAGTCACCATCCTGAGACACCAAGGCAGCCATTCTTCTCCCTAGAGGCCAGCCTGCTCTCCACTGAGGTCCTGCCCTGACACCTGGAACCTTCATGGGCTCCGAGAGACTGATCAGCTCTACTGTCCCCTCAGCGAGTCTACTCTCCACCTCTACCTCAACCTTCACCAGCTCTCCCCTCTACTCTGCTCTCTGCCACCACGTGATGCCAAGCACTGCCCGCCTAGGGCCTGAACCCCGTTCTCTCCCTCCTTGGGTCCTCCCAGCAAGTTTGCCTGATTTTCTACCCTTCTCCCCCTAGCAGAGAGCTGAGCTCCTCGGCCCCTCGGTGGGGTCATCAGGGCAGGGCAATGGCCTTTGTCCAGCAAACACTTGTCTTGGTTAAGACCCTCTTTGTCATCTAATCCTTCCCTCCCTCCAGTCAGGTCTTGTAGAAAAAGCTGTGACTCAGGAATCAGGAGACAAATAAATGTAGACTCTCCCTCCCACCATCAACCCATGGATGACTTTAAGGCCCTCAATCCTTTTGACCCTGCATTTCCCCAACTGGAAAGTAGGTAGAGGTGTTCCCTCCTCATCTCCAAGGTTGTGAAGTGGCTCCAGAGTGAGCGTGCTCTGAGAAGTGACAACTGCTGAGCAGCAGAGTGAGGGACCCAAGCTTAGCCTCTCCCTCCTCTCTTACCATCCTCCTCTCTCTCCAGCCAGCTCCAGGACTACTTGTCAGGGTTTTTGTGATTGTCACCCTTGAGAAATGACCAAGAGGGCTTCACTGGGGAAGCCAGGTCCTAGGGCATTGCTGGGACTTCCAGGTCTGGGAAGGGCCCGTATCAGGTTAAGTCATCACAAGCAGGTGAAGCCCTGAGCTTGAAAACGGGGTTGTGCCCCCTGACACTCCCTCCGCCTCCTCAAGTCAGAGAGACCATGCTTTCCTCTCCCCAGTACCATTCCCACCCTCCTCTCAGTTCCTCAAGGAATGCTTTTCCCCCAGCCTGCCTGGTGCCTCCTCATCCCTCAGCCACAATTCAACTGTCATCTCCTCAGAGAGGCCAAAGTAGGCCTCCCCTTTCCAGTCCCTCTCTATCACATGGCCCCGTTTCATTTTCTCCATAGCACTCACCAGTGTCTGGAATTATTTTATTTCTGTCTTTCTTTATTGTCTGTTTCACCCCATTAGAATGTAAGCTCCTTGAGAGCAGGGCACTCTGCAAGGGACGACATACTCCATTTGGAAAGTAAGACTGCCTAGTCAGCTCTGCGTCCCTCCACCCCAATCCCCACTTTTCCCTGAGATGACAGGGCCTTCAGGAGGGGCTCTTGCAGGGGAAAGGCCGCTCTTCCCTTCTTCGCCCTTCTCCAGTCTCATGGCCCCTGCAAAGCCCATCTGTGTCTCCTACAGGAGAATCTGTTCTCCTAAGATCCAAATCCTTGCCCCGGTCAGGGCACCCACATCTTAGTCCACACCAGAGTCTGGGGGTCCCGGGAAGATCGCGCCGGCGGAACCGGTCTCCTCCAGCTCTGCATTCTCCAGGGCTGCCAGGCAAGCCCCCCGCAAAACCACCCCCACGCCGCTCCACCTCGCCTGGCCCGTCACTCGGACTGCAGCCCGCTTCGGCCCCGCCCCTTCACACGCGCGCGGACACGCCCCTTCCCAGCCCCCAGCCAGGTGGGCAGCTTGCCCAGGACCCGGGAAGCTCGGGTCCCTGGGCGGGCGCCGGAGGACCCACATCCCAGCCACTGCAACAAGTCCGGGGAGCCAAGGCGGCCCGCCCGGGCTCCAGGCCTCGCCACCGTCCTCCTGTGGCCCCGGCACGACTCATGCCGGTTCCCGAGGGACGGCAGCCGTACGCCCAGCACATCCCCGATCTATCCCTCTCTGAGGGCAGGAGCTCTCCGGCGAAAGCAAGCGCCGTTCCGGGGCCCGCTCCGGGTTTTTCTGTATAGACTCTTCAGGCTCGGACAACAATGGAGCAGCTCTCTGCGCTTCCTCCGCCCGAGCGAGCTTTGTTCCTCCCTTCCCGCCCGCTCGGCTCCCATTAGCCAAAGGGCAAAAGCTTCTCAGTCAAACAAGAGTCTCGGCGCGAAAGCCCGGACCCTTCCACAAGCTCTAAAAGACCTGAGGGCTAGGGGTGGAATCAGAGCCGGGACCGAGGTCTAGGACGCGCATCCAGGTGCGCGCAGCTGGCTGCCGCCCGCCCCCTGGCCCCAGATGCTTCTCCTTGCCAGAACCCCCACACCCAGGAAATCCGACTCGTGCTCCCATCGGGGATCCAGAGAGAAAGTGGAGCATCAGCTCTGCTCCAGAGCCAGCCAGCCCTCACATCCGCGCTTCCCACACCTGTCCCCTAGACCCGGGCCTCTCACTGGACGCCCCTCTAGCAATGCTGGGCACTCTCTGGCTGAGAACAGACCACATCACAACAGAGGTCTCCATCAGCCCCAGATTTCTGACATATTAGGATTCTGGTCTTTAAAATTCGAGGAAGACAATGGCTCCATTTCTGAAAACCTATGACCCCATTCCATTGTCCTGCCTCACCTCAGGCAGGCAAGACCAGAGGTCTAGCCTGGTGACATTTTTGAGGAAGCGAACTTAAGCCATGCTCATCTGGAGGTGGGCCAGCCCTGCACATCTGGGCGCAATACCCCCTCAGAACCTGACCCGTGGTCAGCAGAGTCCCAAGGACCCGGGTAGGGGCTGCTCTTCCCCCACACCTTCCCCTGCAGCAGGCCAGGGCAAAGCTAGGGGCGGAGTGGGGCGGGGCGGCAGGACTTACCCAGCATCTGACTGAAGAGCAGCTGCTCCAGGTCGCCCAGCACGGTCACCACGAGCTCGGGGTCCACCTTGAGGAAGGCGCGCTCCTCCTGGCCCTTTGCGGCGGGCACCGGCCCAGAGCCCTTTTGAGCCTTGGCCTTGCTGGAGAGCAGCTCGTCGTCCGACTTGCCATCGTCGCTCACAGCCGCCTCGGGAGCCTTGCTGAGCGGCTTGACCTCAGCGTAGGGGCCGCGCGGGATGCGGCTCGGTTTTCCCAGGCTGGGCGCAAGCGGTGCGAGAGGGGTCTTAGCGCTGCCCGCCGGACTGCCCTTGGCCTGGAAGAGCGAGTGCTCCGACTTGGACAGAGTCTTAGACATGAGCGGAGCCTCACGGCCCTTGGGCCCCGCCTTGCCCAAGCCCTTGGGCGCCTTAGCCATATCGTCGCTCCACTCAGGCTCATAGAGCTGCAGCTTTTTCTCGGAGTCCGTGAGGAACGAGAGGTTGGTTAGCGACTTCTGCTTGCGCAGGTTGGAGGCGGGCGGCCCACCGGGGCCACGACTGTCCACGCTGCCCGACTTAAAGACCTTCAGCTCAGCCGCGCTGGCCTTGGCCATGCCGCCACCGCCGCCGGGCGCCTTGGCGCGCTTGGGCAGCATGCCTCTGCTGTCCGCCGCGGCCGCTTTCCTGCCCGCGCCCCGCGGCTCGTCTGCGCCCTCGTCGCCGCCGCCGCTCAGCTCCACCTCGGGCTGCACGCTCTTGACGCTGCTGCCCAGCATTCTGCCCTCGAGGAGCGCATGGACGATCCGCGCGTCCGCAGGCACTGGAGGGAGGGAGGGGGAATGGGGGCGGGGGCGCCGGGAGGAGGAGGCGGGGGAGCGAAGAGGGAGAGAAAGGACGGAAGAAACCGTGGAAGAAGGGGAGAGGAAGGGGGAGGGAGCAAGGGAAGAGAGAGGGAGGCAAGCCGTGGAGGCAGAGGAAAGAAACGCGAGGGAAAAAGTCGGGGGAAAGGAAAGAGCAAGGAAATCGTGGCGAGATGAGGCGGGGACAGAGAAAAAGGGGCGGGCGGGGAAAAATACAAATTAAAATTAAACAATCAGAACAAGAATGGAGGCGCCGAGGCTCGGCCGGCGCCCGAGGGTGCTTCGGCTCCGGGGTCCCGGCCGGCCCGCCCGTCAGTCCCGCAGGCTGTGCACCGCGGGACAGCGCCCTCGCCGCACTCCGCCCGCCAGCTCAAGTACAGGCTGCGGGCTGCATCTCCGAGCGGAGGAAGGAGAGGAGGGGACCCGAGAGCTAACGGGAGGAGGGGAGGAGTGTGCGCGAGGGGAGGGAGGTAGGGGAGAGAGAGTGCGTGTCTATTTCTGGCTCGGGAGGGGGAGGTATCTTGGAGCAGCGCTCTAGGGGCGGAAGAGAGGGGAGTAGAGGGGAGGGAAAGGATCGACCAATTTTTTCTCCCCCCTTTCCGCGGAGAAGTGGGGACAAGTTCTCGGAGGGCAGGGGTGGTCTCCTGCCGCGTCCAAGAGGAAGGGTCTGTGAGGAGATATGGGGGTGCAGGTAAACCCGACTGAGAGACAGGACGGCTCAAGATGCGGAGGGAGAGTGGATCCGTGGGGGTGTGGGGAGAGATAATGGGAGAAGGATGGGAAAGTAATATCCTGATTTCTGGTTCCCCGCCCACCTCAAACCATCGAAGGCTTCTCCCCAGGAAACGCCCTGTCCCACCTTGCTTCAGTTGCTGCAGCACAAGGCTGCCCTCCTGTGCCCCGGAGGTAGGGGATGGCTGTAGGACTGGGTGGCTTGCAGAGACGGGGCTCAGGGCTGACAGGGGAGGGGGCTGACAGCAGCAGAAGAAAGGATTAAATCTTGGGGTCAGGAAACTGGGTTCCTGTTCTAACTGACTGCATGACCTTGTCAAAGTCATTCAACCCAGCTGGGTCTCTGGCTTCTCTCAGAATGGTTATAACACCAGATTCGTAGGTAAAAGGGCTTTGGAACTGTAGAGCAAGTATCAAACCTAGGGAATCAGGAGGAGGTTTAACACAGGTCCTTTGCCTGCCAGTGCTAAAGTGGGGCTGCAGTGCAATTTGAAACAACAACCTTTCCCTAGCCCCTCTCTCTCCCCTGCCACACAGGGTGCAGGGAAGAGGGATGGGGTGGAAGAGGACAAGAGACAGAGGAAGTAGGCAGTAGCTTGTCTAGGGTTGCCCCTCAGAGGGCAACACTGCCCATCGTCTCACGGCCTTCTGAGTCAGGACCAGGTTGTCTGAGCAACAGACTCTCAGGTTAGGAGGTGGGGGATAGGAGATAGTGTAAGGATGTCTCTGAAAGCAAAGCTTGCTCTGGGCGTGCCCCAGATGGAGCCACGCACTGGTGGTTTTAGAGCCTAAAGAACTCTTTGCCAGAATGCGCTAACCATCAGATTATTCCCCATCCCATCCCCAACCTCCATCTCTCCCGTCCTGTACCCACCCCCTACACCAAGCTCCTGCCTCCTAGAATCTGAGGAGCCCTGTGTCGGAGTCTCAAGGTTCACCCGCTCTCCTGGAGCTAATCATCACAGCCTGCCTAGTGTGAGAGGTATTTGCGTATGTGTCTGTCTCCTGCACCAGCCCAGGAGCTCTCCCAGTGCACAACTGCCTCAACACCTTGCATGGAGCAGATCCTGCAACTGTGTTGTTAAGCAGATTTGCAGGCCTGAATGCTGTACATTGGGTCTGTACCCTGCATGACTCGGGTCTTGCTGGTATCCCCAGAACTCTGCCTTCCATGATCCCAGAGCTGGATTGAGATACCATAAAATCTGCAAGGATCGGAGCTTACCATGTGCTTACCATAGTACTGAGAACACAGGGCTCTCAGGCAGAGGAATGTTTGGTAAGAAGCATAGACTCTTGGCTGGGCCTTGGAGATACAGAGAAAGATGGAGATTCTGCCCTCAAGGAACTCAATGTCTGGCAAGGGATGTAAGACAGACAATACAAGACCTGGGAAAAGAATAATCCTGTTCCTGTGAAAAACCAATGTCACACGTATCAATACATTCGTCATCACAGGTAGAAAGATGTAGGTGTATGTATACTAATCATAGCAGGGACGAGGGAGACTGTGAACCCTGGAGAGCAGGGATCCTGGCTAGCTCATTCACTGCTATAACCCCAGTGTCCAGCACTTAGTAGGTGCTGAATACATGTGAATGTCAGAGTAAGAGATCGTGTGAGCAGGCAGGAGAACAGGTGGAGGAAATAGCAAAGGTTTCCTGGAATATGGTGTGTTGTAAATAAGGGAAGCGTTCAGATGGGGAGAGCAGGAAAAAGGAGGTTGCTCATGTTCACCCCTGCCCAGCAAAGGCATTGTCTTAAAGGAGTGGAGGGGATGAGTTGGGTGCAAAGGTTTACCAGAGGACACAGTGCACACTGACCATGAGGGTTTGTGTACAACATTTAGGAAACTCATGGGTGGACCAGGGCTTTCAATTCCAGATAGGGAATAATGAGCAGTAAGGAACTGGTTAAAGGGACTCAGGTGTTATCTAGAATATGCCAGAAGTTGGCCAAGACACAGAGAACTCCCAAAGAATGAGGCCAGTCGTGGGACTTTCTCTCTGGGCACACATAAGGTACTCATGTTTATGCCCAAACTCTGAGATCCCAGCTTGAGGTAGAAGTCAAGCCCAATCATTGGCATCAAATCTTTGGGTAAGCATGACCATGCCCTTCTTTCCTCCATCCCACAGGCTACATGTAATGAAGTCACAAACTATCCCTTCTAAAGTTATCCTTACTCTGAGGCCATTTTCTAATCTGCATAAGACACACCTCATTCAATCACATGGGAACCTTATCTTTCCTAAAAATGGCAATTTGAGATTCTGGGGATACCTGTTCTCTGATATACCAGGTTTTAGTTGTTCTTGCTTGTTGTCTAACCCAAATGTCCCTTCTTGCATATAAATTCATCTCCTCCTTAGCAAACAAGAAAAAATTAACTGATTACTATCCTGGCTGGAAAACATTATTTCCACTGTGGTCCCCTCCACCCAGTGAGTACTGCTGGGGGCAAAGCTAGGTGCTATCCCCGCTGGGTTCATTTGGTTCCTTGTCTCTGGTGTCTAGGTCTGCAGGTTAGCTCCTCTCAAATTCATCTTTATGATGGCTTTGAAACTTCTTACTCCACTTGTTGCTCTGTGCACCTGTATTTCACTGATGCCCCTGCCCCAGGGACCTAATCTTCCTTCCTTCCTGGTTGTCTTACTCCCTCCTCATTTGTTCCTGTGTTTCAGCCTCATCCCTCCCCATCTCTTTATCCTCCTTTGCTCCTCTCGAGGGATACCCTATTCCCCAAATCCCACTCCTTTCCTTTCCTTCAGTAAACAGCTTCTGAAATTCTGCTTGCTTCAAGAAGAGAGGGTTGTCCAGAAAAGGGGCAGTAGCTCTCCTCCACACCAACTAAACCTAGTGCCCCACACTCCCTGCCTACATGAAACGCCACTTGTCAGTGTGTGAGATGGACAGTTCATCTCATGAGTTAACCCAGCACTGATCTCCCCCGGTCCGTACCACTGCTGCTCTCCTTCCCCATCATCCTTTAAAGGGTCTTGCCACAGCCATGTAGTGGTTCCTTTAAATAGTCATCTTGGCATCCTGGAACTTTCCCGACGCTCCCTAATGCAACCTCTCCCTCTGTCTGGCTCTTTTTTGATTCCTTTCACATCCCCTGAATTTCCCACCATCCTCTACTGCAGTGGGAGTGTTCTGCTGCCGTGGCAACAGCCATTCCAGCATCAGTCGATAAAGCCAATATGTGCAGAATGTTTCCTCGAGTGATTCTTAAAAAGAGAGGGACCTGCCCTGTCACACCATGCTCAAACCCAGCCCTGTGCCCCTCCCACTCTGCCATCTCCCTCTCCCCCCGAGACAGGCTGTGAATGGTCCACTGAGGACACATCAGTGACCTATCTAAGGGGCCAGGATCCTGCCAATTTCTGAAGGGGAGGTGGGGAAATAGACTGGTTTGGAATCGTGGGAGTCCCCAGTCCCCAGCTCCCCAAAGACTGACTTATCACCTGACTCTTCTCTCTTCTCTTCCCAGGCACTGGCAGTTTCCAGGATAGGGATGGGGTGAGTGATCTGACCACATCTGTTGGCCCATAACTTAAAGCAATCTGAAGAATGAAGATATAGGCATACAGCCAAGGAAAGGCATGCTGTGTCATTTTACATTCTCATGCCCCTGTGGCTGGAAATTGGTTGGAAATTTGGGTTGTCTGTGGGGGGTCTGGGGGTTGTGCCTGTTGGGATTGGGTTAGGAGAGCTGGGTGGCAGTGGAAGAGAGGAGACAATGAGAAGGAGGACTAGGCTACACCCATTCTGTTGACCTTGAAAGATGGTCTTGGGACAAGGGGGGACCTGAGCCAGAGGGTAGTAGGCAGGTGAGGCCACCCTTGGTTCTCCACAGGCTAAGGGCAGAGAAGTGAAGAGGGAAAGATCTTCTTGATTTCTGTACCCACAGTCAGGATCTGGAGAGCAACGGCGAGGAACACAGCCATATGGCTCTGCAAGCATAGCCCACCCACCCTGGGCCGGGGTGCAACTGTCACCAACCCAACTGAGTGACAAGCACGTCTAAATTTTCCCAGCTCAGAGCCCTCTAATGAGTTCTTTTCATCACCTCCCCAAGCATGTTCCAACCCCTCTGCCTTTGTTGAGAGCTCCCAGCCATTGCTTCCCACTTCTTTCTGTCCTCCTCTCCCCATGTCATTGCACCTTTCTGCAGGACTTCTTGAGCACCCACCACATGGCCAAGGCCAGGCTAGCAGCTGCTGAC